CGCTGAAAATGATGACAAAACCCCCAGCGCGGCGCGATCCGTTTTCGGGTCGCTGGAAATCCTCGCCCCTGGTCCATGGTGGTTTCCAGAACCTGTTGTTGCTTCTCCATGTGTAAAACGATCATCTATATAATATTAATTAAATGCATGTATAATCAAAACTATGGATGTGCTCTCTTCGTAAATATAACACATCTGTGTATATATATATATATATATATATATATATATACATTTGTATATACATATATGTGAAAGGGTTGTTAAAAGAAGCGTATGCACTACCCGATGCCAAGACGAACAGTCGCGCGTGGCGGGGAGGAGGAGCTGGCGGCGGCGGGCAGCTTCAAGAGATGAGGACATCCAGCTGTCTATAAAACGAAACAGGCCTTCAAGAAAACAAAAAACAAACAAACAAACAAAACGATAAGGTAAGCGGCAACGTCGAGGGCGGCACTAAGATGTGGATTATGGGGAAGCGACAACTACAGCTACAACTACAACACTTGCACACTCACCTGCAGGCCCCCCACCGCTCTCCCCATCTCCAGGTGATAGTTTCATCCACGTTCTTACGACATCCTCCTCGATCCTGGGCGAATTCTATCTAATCGATCTTCTGGGGGTGATAGAAACGAACAACCTGATACTCCCAAATCGTTCCCCGCGAAAGTTCTATAATCCCTCATATTGAACCCCCCGTTGCTCACGAACTGCATGCTGCTGACACTTCCCGGGAAAGAAAAAAAAGAATCCAGATTATTTACGGCCCTTCAAGAAGTATGTCCAGCGTGTCTGTGCAGTTTCTCCATGCTACCACATTAAAATCCGATGTCCTCTCATCCTGCTTGATTCACTTGCTGCGTTTACGTACAACACGAGCATACGATTCATCAGCCTGTCCTAGAAATCGCGGCCAGCGTAAGTCTCGCGCCAGCAGCTTCTTTTGTCCCGTTCTCATCGCGAGGGCGACCCTCCTGCCCCAGCGCCGGATGGAAGCGCACCAACGGCACGCAGAATACGCCACGCGATGTCTTCACTGGAACCTCGAAGCCCGAGCACTACGAGCTGCTGGCCGGCAGATTCGAGAGTTCATCCATATACCAGTCATACTCATACCTCTGCCAAGCGGAATGATCTCGACGGCTGTCTTACAGCAAGGGTGCAGCGCAGAAAGACTGCGCACCAATAAGCTGCTACGCTCTTCCGGAAGATCCTACCCAAATAGTTTCAGCGCCGACGTACACCAATCAACGGCACCCCCAGCCCATCTCTGACACACTCCTGCCAGACAGGACGCAAGCAGCCAAAGAGCACCATCTTGGGAAAAAGCACGGCCCCTACCAGAGCCTCGAGGCAAACCGCAAGTGACCGCCGAAGCAGTAGCACTCTAACCACATAATTGCACATTGTATCGAATAGATCTCAAATGTCCCAGAAACCAAACAGGAGTAGCATGAGGAACCCCACGATGTTGCAGTGCTTGCAAGAGTCGCAAATGACAAACAAAAACAAAAGCATTGGGGACGTCAGCCGATCCGGAGAAGCAACAAAATCCACCTTGCATACGCTCTTGCGCCATGAGCATAATGATGAAGACCATACCCATAACACTGCGACCCTCGCGATAAGCAAACTGCCAGGGGGCGTAGTCGGTGATCTCCTTTAACAGATTCAAGGAAGCTCCCCAAACCCTATTTCAGGAAGCACGGCATAACAGCCAACGGCCGCAATAATTTGAGCCACGTTACCAGAGGCTCCTTCGGCACCTCAGCCAAGTCACGCAGAGCGCGCTCAATATCAAGTCGAATACGGGCACCATGAAAAGGACGACCCGTGAGACAAGCACGTTTACGATAATCCTGGTGAGAAATGTCATCAGGAAGACGATGTGGCATGACAGTGCAGAATTCACAACGCAGGCCCCGATCAATGGCGGCCTCCTTGAGCGTCCAGATCGGACTGTTGGCTTCAATCCGCTTCGAAGAAAGCTCCCTCATCAGTGGTGCCTCAGCCACCGTTCACCATCGTTTTCCGCCGAACACGGACAGCAGATAGCACATGCATGTTGGAAGCCTCTTTGCAAAGGGGCGCAGCGATCAAGAGCATCAACAGCTTCACTCGCTAAGGTTAGAGAGCCCAGGGTTCGCCAGGGACTGGCCTCCCTCCAAGACGACGAGAATCCTCCCAAAACCCTCCCGGCACTCTTCAAAAACCCTCCCAGAACCCTTCCCAGAGGATTTCCGGAGGGTCAAACTTGATGAACTTACCACAACGGCGGACACGACGAGCACGAACCCCACCAAGCTTAGCTAGATCACAGCCAGAGCGGCAGAGAGCGATAAAACCACGCACGCCTATCCAGAACAGCGCAAAGACCCGCCATCCGATTAACAACAGGATCACAAGCACCCTCAGTTGCGAAATCATTCCTGACATGCTTTTCTTGAAGACATGCGCCATTTCGAATAGGAATGTAGCACCCCGCAGATGCGGATAA